GCAACGTTTAAAAAACGTTGCCGTAGACCTTTCGCAGCGTTTTTTAAACGTTGCCGTATCTCTTCCTCTCTTTCGCAACACTGCACTTTGCAACATATGAAAAAACGTTGCAAAAGGCCTTTTGCAACGTTTTTTGGCCGTTGCAAAAGGCTTTTTTTGGTGTAGTGAAATGAAATGTGAAATTAAATGGCTTATTTAATTTCACATATCATTTAATGCCACATTAATGCACATAGACTGGGGATGAATAGTATTTCTCATATTCTAACCACTTACATATATTCTATATTTTTTCAGTATAATTACAATACACTTACAAATTATGTCAAAACCTTACTCATTTTTTTTTTATTTTTTTCCTTAAACAACACACTATTTAATACCCAACTTCACCAACGGCACGTGCATCACACGTGTGTCAAACTAGTAGTTTAAAAAATAAAGTAAATAGTTGGAGAGTATAATTAGTGGCGAGAGGATGCAGGTTTTGTATGGAACAACTCACGTTTATTTTTCTTTTTTAAGACACACGACGCCCTACGTTGAATATGTGATACACATTAGACATATCATTGTAGGTAAATCATACTTGAAATGGAGTGAATTTTGTAGAAGTCAAGTCGAGCACTTCTTAAATCATGTTTATATCCACCAAGTTGAACTTGCAAGTCCTTGAAACTTACTATGTTTTCCTTTTTATAAGGGGAATTAGCAAATCAAAAAAAACTACAAAAATTATGCATCTTAGTAGACTTAACCCAAAAAGGACAATATTACAATATTAACGTCTTTTATTCAGAAAGGGTATTACAGTATTAACGTCTTTTATTCACCACTTTAAGACAGGTAAAAGCACTCTTCAACTTATAAAACAATTAAAAAGATCACAATTTGATTGGAAATGCCTTGAGAGATGTGGCCTTGTGTAAAGTAGTTGTGTATTTCTCACTCATGTCAATGTCTTCTGGTTTTACGCCCTCTTCAAGTCTTCAATCAAAATTGTGTATGAAAGTGGCCAACATGACATGTACTACTCAGTGCGCCAAAGACGACCCTTGACATATTCTCCTCCATGCACCGAATGGAATGAACTATAAATCTTGGCCATTAAAATCAATTTTTTGATCTAAAAATCTTTATGGCATAAATGAATCTGGTCTGGATCAAATGTTTGAATCTCTAGTGCTTGCCCATGTATTAACAAGTATTTGAGCCTTTTTGGGGATGATGTAACCATTGATTTCTACATCGGCCTCAGCTTTATGAGGTACTAACAAGGGTGCAACGGGGTGAAGTCTATGTATTTCTTTCACAACAGCTTGTAAGTAAGGGAGTTTTGAAATATCTGATTCTTGAATCACACCATGCTCTCCAATCACATCACTAAGCTCGCTTTTGCTTTCGACATCTTTTTGGGGTTGCAGAGTAATTCAGCCATTGCCCATTCAATAGTAGCTGGAACCGTATCCGTGCTACCAAGAAATACGTCCTACAAAATAGAAAGCCAACTAAGAGAGAGAATTTGAGTATTTTCTAGAGCAATAAAATTGAGTATAGTCTATACCATTAGTAGATACTTTATATCTTTTTGGCTTAATTCTGGCTCAAACTTTTTGTAGAGATCAAGAAGGGCTTCCAGCAAATCATTTTTTTCTAATGTACCTCTTGATTTCAATCGTTGATCTATAATACTTTCAAGAATTGCGTATAACATTCTGAAATAAAAATTGGTTCGGCTTGAGATTCCTTGTGGATATATATGTATATTTAAGAACTGGAAAGTAATCTGCAATATTAGGACTGCCAATACATTTACTTACATTCCAGATAACATCCTTAAATTCTCGAGAGGAATCAAAATTGAAGTCGACAAAATCAACTGACAAAAGAGAGGACGATATCATGTTAAGTGAGGTCGTAAATGTAACCTCAGCTATATCCACTACATGACCATTAACACAACATTGATTCACATAGTCGCATAGTTTCTGCAATTTTTCTCGTCGAATGCCCTGGCTTGCGTCAAGCCTTTGCAGTGAAAACATCTGTTCCTTCAATATTTTGCGAAATTTACGCCATTGATTATCACCCGGCAAAAACGGCAAAGAGAACTTGTCATGCTCGAGGGATTCAAGGGTCACGGGGACGGTACTGCCACAGAAGGATGGATCATATTTTTGTAGTACAGTTTTAGCTATTTCTGGTGATGAAACGACTATTGTTTCACAATAACCCATTCTAAGATACATAAGAGGTCCATAGGTTTGGGAAAGTTTGGCCAGTGACTGGTATGGGTTTTCATCAAGTTGTAGAATGTTCTCGATTATCGAAAAAGGATAAGGCCCCGGAGAAAGCTTGGCGGACTTCCGGTGCTTTGAATTTGAGGTTAAGATAAAAAAATGCATGTGCAAATGGTAGAAAATAGAACGAGAAGGAACAATAGGAACTCCATAGGTTTTTACTTTTTTTTTTGGTGTATTCTATAATAGGACTCGTGTACAAATTTATAGTGCATAACTGATGGCATTCATGGAAATATTGGACTATTTTATTAGTTATGAAAACATCCGGGGCATGTTAGGTAAAGCTTGAATTTTATTTAAAGTTAATCTAGCTTACTTTCTATCTACACATTTTATAGAACTTAATTTTGTTGGCTGCGTAACGAGGTTATACGACACGATATGAAATATTGATCGCAAACAATAAGAACACAAGAAACACGAATTTAATTTGGTGGAGGAATTAGAGATTTTATTCAACTATAATGAAAAAAGAATTACAACAATTGTGTATCTCACAACTATTATAACCTCAGCAATACAACAACTTTTAAAGAAGGGTTTACTATTTAGTATTTATAGAAATACACGTCAAATCCTAATAATGGCACAAAAGAAGGAAATTGGGTCAAAAATCGCGTGAAAACAAGAAAATAAGGAAAAACCCGTCAAGCCCCAACGCTTGAGCGGAAGCTGTGTGTGGTGCTGGAGTGTCAACCGGGAGTTAATCGAGCGGCAACTCCATCGCCTAGGCGCTAAGTGTATGGTGGCCTAGCGCCGAGTTTTGGTAAAACATTCACCTTCTCGCGGCTCGAGCAATTAACTAGCGCCGCAATATCCTTTTTCCTCCTTGGAAACGGAGACCAATTTACAGTAGAAGTTGGGTCGTCCTTGACTTTAGGCGGTGTAGGCAATCACCTAAGTCCAATTTTGGTGAGAGCCCCAAATTATGTAAAATTAATTGACTTGTTGAATAAAAATTATAATTATAATTACAAAATTCTTTAAATTAGAATTATTATGTAAACACGAGAATCTAATAAAATTTGAAAATACAAACATCTCTAAAAAAATTCATATAAATGGCATAAAACTTATCACATACCTTTAAGTATCACATATCATGATCATTCTCTATATATAATAATTTGGCCCTTTATATTTCCAACTATCATTTGTCTTTTTCTAAACAAGAAACTAAATGTCAGATTTCTCTCTTCAAAATTTACGGGCATTACTTTTTCTAATGGTCTCATTGTGGGTTTTACACTTATTCAAAGAGTTGTTGCTAAAGGTATTGGTATTCATCTTTCTAGATTTTTGCATTTCGTTTTATTGTCCGTATTATTATTATTATTTTAAGTTTTCCAGTATCATTGTATTGATTAATGTTTTAATTAAATTAATACTTCTCTATGTGTTATGTAATCTGGCTTGGATTTTCTCGATCCACTTATTATTCTATTTTTCACCTTTTATGTTTGTACCGTTTAAATATTGTATTTTGTTTTCCAATTTTTCTGATTATATTTAATTGTTTTTAATTATTTTCTAAGTTAAAATCAACTATTAATTTTAACAACATATTCAATCAACTTTTATAAAAATTTACTAAAAATCTAATTTTAATTTCTATCAAACAGGGGGCTTAATATTCATAGGGTCCATATTTAAAGTTAGCATAAGCCCCCAAAAATATCAGGTCAACCTTGGGTAGAAGTACAGAATTAATCTTAGAATCGCATCAAACTCTCGTTAAAATATGGAAATTGTGGATTGCATGAGAAATTTTAATTATAAACACATTTCATGTTAGTTGCCTTATCAATTTTTTTTTTTTTTTACTATGGGGGAGCTATTGCCCAATTCTTATGTGCTAAAGAGTAAATATTGAAATAACAATTATTATATAAGGGTTTGATCTACTTTCAGAATATTGAAATATTGATACTTGATTAAAAGTCTTAATATAAAATCTCCACCTTTCATTGTTATTGTGGAAACGTCCATACTTTTTATTTTTTGACATTCTCATCCTTATTTTCACATTTCATTGCGCAAAAGATCATTTTCACATATTTTCTCAATTAAAAATTATGAAATGACTAATATAACCCTATCTTTAAATAAAACAAAAAGAAAAAGAAAAAAATAATTGTAATCATAGTTTCAAATTTTTTTTTAAAAAAATGCAAATAAGTCATAAATAAATTATTAAAAGGGTAATTAATACGTAATGTCCATATCTTTCACCATTATTGAAAAAAACGTTTATATCTTTCATTTTTTTTTTATATATTTTCACCCTTAATTACACATTTGATTGTGCATCATTTCCATCCAATTTTTCAATAAAAAACTGTGAAAAAAAAATATATATATTTTTTAATCTTTAATTCTTTAATAATTTATCTGGGACTCGTTTGCATTTTTTAATTTTTTAAAATTTTTAAATAAATTTAATTGGGACTCTTTTGTACTTTTTTTAAAAAAATTTTAATAATTTATTAAGGACTTGTTTGCATTTTTTTAAAATTTGGAATTATAATTGCAATTAATTCTTTAGCTTTTTATTTAAATAGGATGTTATATTCGTCATTTCATAGATTTTTATTGAAATATTGGATGAAAATGGATACAAAAGATGGTTTGTGCAATCAAATATGTAGTTAATTGTGAAAATGCTAAAAAAAATGAAAGGTATGAACGTTTTTCGCAAAAACAGTGAAAGATATAGATATTATGTACTTATTACTATTTTAATAATTTATTTGTGACTCATTTGGGCTTTTTAAAAAAATTTAGGACTGTGGTTGCAATTATTTTTTCTTTTTTTATTTTATTTAAAGAGATGGATGTATTCGTCATTTCATAATTTTTAATTGAGAAAATAAGTGAAAATGACATTTTGTGCAATGAAAAGTGAAAATGCCAAAAACTAAAAGGTATGAACATTTTCTACAATAACAATAAAATGTGGGAGCGTTATGTACTAATTACTTTAATATAAATAATCAAGCTTAGCCACAAAGTCCAAAGCAAATTCGGAACACCACAACTAGAGGAATTGGGACACACCGATGGAGCATACCCGATCAATTGGTGCTCTTTGATCACTAGCAATCTATTGGAGTCAAAAACACCATAACTAGAGGAATTGGGACACACTGATGGAGCATACCCGATCATTTGGCGCTCTGTGCGCACTAGCAATCTATTGGAGTCAACACATTTGATACAACATTTTGGTTGACAAAGGTAGGAAGGAACTTTTGAGAACTCAATCTAAAAGTTAAATCAGGAATTGCACATCTTATTTTCAACGTCCTTAATTATGAAATAATACGTGGATGTATCTACACACACGTACAATAATTATCTTTTTTCCATCAGAAAAAAGAGAGAGGCTATAGTCAGTTGTCGTTCTTTCGAATTTAGAAATTTGCAAATTAAGAACATATATCTAAAAGTTCAATTGGGAAATTTGCAAATTATTGTACTAACTGGGGCCAAAGCTAATTGAATTAGGATTATACTACTTGTACATTTACATAAAATGATGTGGAGGGAAAAAAATTCGATAAAAAAGTTGATCATATTTTAAACTGACAAATTGTAGAGTGTCATATGGTATTATGTAATCATTTATATAAACCTTTATTTACATGTAACAAGATCCATTAAATTAAACATCTTATTTCCAATGTCCGTAATTATCAAAGAAATAAGGTGTGGTTGTAGATACACACGTACAATGGTAAACTTCTTCCGTCGAAAAAAAAAAAAAATCAAATCCTCTAGATTAACATTACTTCTAGCTATAGTCAGCTGTTGTGGACATTATTCCTTTGAATTGTCCTATTGAGCAAATATGATACATAAAGTTCTCTTGATTTTCAGAAGTTGAGCTTGATGCATCCAGCTTAAGGGTGTTCATGGATTGTGTCAAATCGTTATAGGTCACCCTTTGATCTAAGATGACTCAGATTAACTGTACGGAGATTGAAGAAATACTTTTGGATGATATTACCAACACCGATATTTATAATTCATTATTCGCTCTTCAATTAATATCATAAATTATAAAAGACTAAAGATGCGACTATGGAGTTCTTGCTTATATGGTCATTTGTTTTGTTATGAATATGTTTTTACCTACGTTCGTAGTTGATGAGTGTAAATTTACCATCGATGTGAACTTATTCAATAAATGTTTATGCATGTGTTTGACTAATTTATTTATTGTTTATAAAGTTATATTAAAAAAGAGCAATAGGATGGCAATCTCAAATAAATTTTACAAATAAATGGAAAAATGTCAAAGTTTTGACTTCACTAAATATAATGCATTACTCTGGACATGATGTCAACCTATAAACTTTACATCACATGAGAAAATGTCAATGTAGTACGGTGATTTGATGAAGTATGCCTAGAGAAAAAGCTCCAAATTACCAAATTGCGTGAATTTATATTCAACTATATGCATTTTCAAGCTAGACCTCATATATCAAGTTAAGAGGTCTTACGCTATAAGTTAAAGCTCACGCTAAACATTATAATACCTGTAAAATGGTCATGAGGAATGGCCCAAAAAAAAGTGTATTATACACTCAAAAGGAGAAAAATAGTTGCATAAATGAATACATGACAACTTAACAACTCTCGATTATTTGACATTTGACCTTTTTCAAGTTGATGTCTAGGCCGATTTTCTAAATTGATATTTACGTGTATCATGATATATATATGACAATTTTCATGTGTACATTAATTAAGAAACTGTTTTGGATGACAAAAAGTTCAACTCGATACCAGCGTGCTCCACCCCACATGGGGAGGGGATTACCCACCTAACTAGGTAAAAGGGACGGGGACAGGACAATGGTCATTGCCGCAAATGGGGTATGGTGCGGGTACAGGAAACATAGTCCATGTTCCGCTACCCGCCTTGC